ATATGTGTAATATGAAATGAATTGTATTCTTCCATCATGTATAACAAATTAGAATAAATAAATTTACAAAAAAAAATAAATACCTCTGGGGAAGTGTTTTGGAGGGTAACAAGGAAACTTCCAGGGTGCTGGCAGTACTTAGCAGGATTTTAGTAACATGGTTGTACTTTATTAAGTTCATTCAGCCATACACTTAAAGATTTGAGCATGTTTTTGTGTGCATCTGTGATATGCTTTGACAAAAAAATTGAAAATTAAACACAAACTTAAAAAATTATTGATATGTTTTACCTGTTTTTACTCATACTGTCATTGATATTCAGTGTGTATTTTATACTTACAGCACATCACAGTTCTAACCAGCCACAGTTTAAGTGGTCAGTAGCCCCATGTGACAAATGATTATCTGATCGGACATTGCAGATCTATAACCTCATCATTTCACAGCTTCTTTGAGGTTAGACTTTTGTTTCAGATCTTTCATTGTAGTATTAAGAAGAACAGGAGGTTGTTTCTCCCAAGCAGCTCATCTTAATTTTACTGCTACTTTCTTATTTTTATATAGTATTTCCTATTTAAATCAGATGGTTATTTTTGTGTGCAGGTATACAAGATGAGTAATATACCATTGTTTTAGTTCCTTGTCCTATTGCTTTATTACTAGTCTTCTCATGACTACCTCTTTATTTAAGCAAATTTTTATTGGACTATGACTTACCTACCTAAAAGGTACAAACTGGAGGTGTATCCACAATGAATTTTTACAAAGTGAACGTACACACTGTTTGTATTCAAGAAATAGAACAATGGAGAACCCAGAAATAAATTTACACATTTGTGGCCAATTGTTTTTTGACAAAAGTGCCATGAATACACATGGGGAAAGGATAGTCCCTTCAGTAAATGATGCTAAGATAACTGGATATTCACATGCAGAAGAATAAAATTAGTCCCTTATCTCATATCATATACAAAAGTAATTCAAAATGGCTCAAAGACTTAAATGTAAGACTTGAAACTCTAAAACTGTTAGAAGAAACTATGAGGGAAAAGTTCTCTGGCATTGTTCTGACCAGTGATCTTTTGGAGATGAACCCAAAAGCACAGACACCAAATGTAAAAATAGATAAATGTGATGACACCTGCACAAGCAAGGAAACAATTAGAGTAAACAAACCATCTGTGGGTGAAGGTATTTGCAAACCATACATTTGATAAGGTATTAATATCTAAAATACCTAAGTAACTCAGCTCAAGAGCTAGAAACAAATAATCCAGCTGAAAAATGAGCACATCCTCATCAACATTTGGTATTTGTGTTTGTTTTTGTTGTACTGATTTTCATCTTTCCTAAACTAGTCTTAAGCATGAATGTACTTTGGACATCCTCTTTTGTGAAGTGCTTATTAAGTCTCGTGTCTGTTTTTTATTGTGTTGTCTGACTTTTCCTTATTGATTTACAGGAGTTCTTTATATATTTATTTATATATTTCAGGTAAAACCATCTCCTGCTCTGTGGTCTGCCTTTTCACTCTGTTGATGAAGTTCTAGTTAATAAAATGTCAAGTTGATGTTTAATGCCTCTTTGTATGGTTCTAGAAAAATCTCTGCCTGCATCTACCTATTTTCTTCTATAAGTATTATTGTTTTACCTTTTTACATTTGATTCTACATCTACTTAGAATTAACTTTTGTGTATGTGGTGAGAAGTGGGTTGAGATTCATTATTTTCCATGTGAATATGCAATTAACATGCAGTGCTATATCATCTCCTCTATAAATTAGTGTTTCATTACAATCAATTTTTTAATCAAGCAAAGGTATATACATATGAGAAGTTCTTAAGATAAGAAATTCTAAAGTTAAGTGGAATTAGTTTATTTAAGATGACCTAGGAAACATTACTGGGGCATTTATCCTTGAACTGAAAGAAGTTAGATATTAGTAGTAATAGAGCCAAGTGTTGTCTAAACCCTGGCTCTCAAACATACAGAGGGTTCTTTATTTCCTAACTTTTTTGATTATGAATCATCAGTAAATGATGCTTGAACATATACCCAATATATGAATATTTATGTTATATATACATATATATAGTATATAGTATGCATATATTACTGAATTAATCCTATTTGTATTATAAAGCACAATAATTGAAATTTAAAAGGTGATCATAAAATAGTAATTCTAATATTTTCTTTATATACTTCTGTATCAGCCAAAATGGGATAGGCCATGTGTGTTAACAATCCTTAAATTCCAGTGGTTTAAAACCACACCAGTTTCCTTTCTTTTGCTACATATCCATTGTGGTTTGGCTTCAACATTTCCTCTGTATTGTTCTAACTCTGGCACCCAGACTGACAGAGCAGCTCCCATCTGAAAGGATAAGGAAAGATAATGAAAAACTAACACTTAAAGCTTCAGCCCGGAAGGGGCACGTGACATTTCTGCTCACTTTTTATTGGCCAAAACAAGTTACATGTCATTACCTAATTGCAGAGGAGAAAAGTCCTAACTTTGTGCCTGGGAGAACTGAACATTTTAAATAGCACTAAAAATGATCACCTTTCCACGATTGATTTTGGAGCACACAGACCTGAATTTGTGTTTGTTTAGTAAATACACAAAGACAATTTTTTTTAGTTTTTTTTTCTGATATTTTGTGTTATTTTTTAAATCTGAGATAGGAACCCCAAGTAGTAAGTCCACTAAACTGCTGGCCACTTTGGCCTCTGTAACTTGAAACCGTTAGCAGCTTCTCTGTGCTCATTAGAGAACCCAGACACCTGAATGTGGCCCATATGCCCTGCCTTGCCATCCTGATTGCATGTCACTCTCATCACATCCCCGAGGCCTCAAGACTGGCCTTTCAATTTCTTGAAGGTAGACATATGCTCCGTGTCTTGAATATTTTTCTTCCCTTTTTCTAGTTTTTGCCTGGTTATCCTGTATCTTTTAGGTTAAATGTTTCCTTAAAGAAACCCTCTCTGACTTCTAGAGTCAGTGGAGTCTTCTCTGTTCTGCTCTTTCATATACTTTGTGCTTTGCTTCCACAGAAATGTGTTTCTTGTTTAATGCATTTCTGCAATTAGAGCTCAAGCTTCAAGGGGGCCAGCATCAAGTCTGTTTGGCTCACCACAGTATGCTAGCATTTGTGTTTAGCCTGGTTACTGGTATACAATAAGAGTGCATTAAATATTGTTTGGTTGTCGTTTCATATTTTATGTCTGTGACATTTATGTAGTCTGTAGGGAATATGAGATAGTTATACAATCCATGGAGAATAATTTGATAATGAGAAGTAAATCATGCAAACTGCAGGTATATTCTTGATTCTTATGTCTTGGGAAGTCTAAGAAATTCCAAGGTAATAAGGCTTTTCCTGTTCTCTATGAATTGAAATATGCCTTGCCTAGATTTTTCACTGTCTATAAATATCCTAATCTTATTTATTGAATGATATTTCTTATGTTTAAGTTGAAAGCCCTGTAGTCAGGGTATATAAAACATTTAACATAAATGGCAGAAAAACTGCCCAAGCAATAAGTATATTCATATGGACATAGTGAATAAAAAAAAAAAAGTGCTCTTGCTATGAAGCTATGTTTTCTTCTAGCTTTCTGGAGTTGGTGCTGAATTACCAAAACCCAGTGTAATTTATTTTTGTGATACTTTGCATCAGCAAAAGGATATATATTAGATGCTTAGAACATGCTTTGCTCCAAATTAATGTCTTTCACTGTTTGTCTTCATTTATATGTGTTGTGGGCAACCTTAGTCTTTCCTGTTCCTCTTTCCAAAAGAATAACAAATTTTATCACTTTCTTGTCTGTTTCATTATGGACTATCAATGCTATTCTTCATTTTATATGTAAATGTTCTAATCTTCTGCAGTGATAATCTTATGGTGGAATTGATAGGATGATCCAGACATTGTTATCTCTAAGCTTCTGATGGTAGTGTTCTGCATTTTTATTCTGGAAGGGAGTCACTGTTTTTCATCAATAAGAAAGCGAGATTAAAAGGATCATGAATACAGATTATATTTGCGGAGCCTGTGTATTTATCCAGTGAATGTCTGTTAAGGATCTATTTTGTGCCAGAAGCTAGGGAAACCCAGAAAGAGATGGGAATTTTCTATATTACTACAAAACTTTGTTTCAAGCAATAACATTCTAATAAGAACTGACAGGCTCAGTTTTCACAAGGATAGAATGGGGGTGATAAAATACTTGTGAATTTTTTGTGAGGAGAAAATATGATAGTCCCTTTAAAGCATTTATTCTAGTATGTGATCTGTAATAAGCACTGTTTGGGCCTGTTTGTTGGTTGTTGTTATATGTTATATGTTAGCTATTATTGACCATGAGACTTTGCCACAGGTAAGCTCTTAACTATTTATTTTCATCTATTTTCTCCCCTCTTGTTTTCTCCATATTGTTATCAGGACTAATCTGATTGTGTAACACTAACTCTTTGATATCATCTTTTTTTGTCTTTAAAAACCTTTGTGGTTTCCTGTGTCTAAGTCTCAGATATATGGATGGCATTTGGCACCTTACCTTCTGACCCTGGCCTTCCTTAACAAACCATCTTCTGTCTTGACCACACACTAGGTTACAAATTATGTGGGCCCAAATAGTTAAATTTGGCTGCTTCAGTTTGTGCCCTTTCTTCTGCCTGTATTTCCTTTTGTAGGCCTTGCCCACTCTTGCCACTTGCAACCTGAAGAAACAAATGTCTGTGAGCTACTCAAAAACTCCTCTTATTCTTCCCAGGCAGTTTTTCTTGGCTCCTGTTTACTCAGTGACTTTTAGTACTTATCACTGTATTAATTACCTATGTCTTTATGTCTCACTACCTTGTGAGTTCCTTGAGAGCAGAGTCTATAACTTATTATTATATCACCACCTAGTAGGTACTCAGTGCTGAAATGATGTATTAAAATATGATGTAATTTTATTTTAATTTCAATGTTTTTTTTTTTTTAATTCTAGGTTCTTGGTCTTGTCCAAAACATGAGTGTTTTCCAGTGTCCAAACTGTAAACACAAAACTCATATTTTTGGTGCTGATGGTGCAAAGAAGCTAGCACAGACCCTTGATCTTGATGTTCTGGGTAAGTTGTTCTAGGTAAAGTTCTGCAGTGGAAGTTGGTCCGCGGGTTGTGGGTTATTGTTAAGTTCTTTAACATTGTAAAGTTCTGCAGTGGAAGTTGCAGAAGGGAAGATGGGTCTGAAGCTTGGTGATAGTGTCACAGAAAATTATCAGTGGCTTTTGGCTTTGTGTTTTAATTATGTTAGTACAGTGCCATTCTATGTGTTAACCTTTCTTTGGCTTTTTTGGTAGATTTGTTCTACGAACTATGATAATAATTTCTACTAGATAAAAACTGCCTGTAAGTTAAATTTGAGAAGAAAGTTTTGTGGTCCAAGTACAGTGATCTTGAAGCAATATTTTAAATAATGGTTATCAATTTGTTGGCTAAGTGGGCACATATATTTCAGTATAAACAGATAAATGCGATTTCTGTGTCAGTTCTCAGAGCATAAATAAAAATGCCTTCCTGATCACTTCTGTATTTGTCATTTTTACAGCTTTAAAATGGCAGTATTTACTGCTTTCTACAATATTTTTTATTAGTACGTTATAGTTATATATAGTTGTGGGATTCACTTGGACATATTAATAAATGCAATTAACACAATTGGGTGTCCTCAGTACTTCCCCCTTCTTTCTTCCTCTCTCTCACTGCCATCTTCCTCTATCTATAATCTTTTTTATGTGTTTGCTAATGTCTATAAAATATGACACCTGAAATTTATATTATGTACACTGTTCACAGCACTGAATTAAAGAATCAATTTAAATTAGTGAGAAGAACTACAATCATCTTAAGTGAGCAAAACCCAGATTTGGGTTAAAACGAGATTTTTCAAAAATCCACAACTTAATGGACTTTTTAGAAAATGTTTTGATATTGTAATTGTGAGTGAGTTTCTGTTCTGGGAAATAGCAGATATTACATTCTGAATAAGGGAGACAGAATATGAATTATTAGTTTTAGGTAGTTAAAAATTAAGATCCCTTAGAGATCAAAGAATTTCAAAACATTCTCTATTATAATTAAATTTCTAAAAGTTAATGTTAAATGTGTTACTGTTAATAAACATTTGCACTATTGGAGCAACTATAATGCTAGGTGAATACTAATGATATATTTTGATACATCGCTATAATCATAGCCACTAATTATATTCTGCAACTGTTTTCATTAACTAACCTAGAAAGTTCAATTTTCCAAATCTGCATAATGACATAACAGATTGACATTCACTTATATCATAAAGTAAATGTGTAATTATAATGGAATTATTGAATTATGTTGACAATATTGTAATTCCCTAACTTATGAGTGGTGCAATTTTGTAAGTCATTTATTTAGAATTTGAAACATCTCATAAAGAAGCAATCTCTTACTGGGAAGTTACATTTTAACCAATGGCTCACAAGTGTACAGTAGCCTAAAAATGTTATCAGAAACATTGATACAATGATACAGAAACAGTGATTTCAGGTCACAAAAATTGGATAGTGCTGCAGACTGCCATGTCTAACATTATTATGGGAAAATAATTTAGAGTTCCAGCTCAGGACCCATCTCCTGCCTTTTAATTTAGTCACAGAATCCAGAGGGTTACCCCTTGAACTAGAGCAGCAGATTCAATTATGAAGAGATTGAGACTGAAATCAGGTAACATCTCCGACTACTATCTATATAGTGGAGGTTTGTATTATATACTTCCTGAGAACTCTTCAAACTCTTACAAGTTACATATAATGGTACATAGATTAGTAAATTGCAAAAGAAAGATGATTCTACTTGATAGAGGGGCAGACAGCTGAAGCAACAGGTTGGCCTACTCATCTGCAAGCATCGGAAGGTTATTTTGTCGTAGTTTGTTTGGACTACTGGGCCTCTGCATCTTCTCCTCTTGCTGTGTGGCATGATGTATCTGTACTGGATATTACAGGGGAAAATAATTTAAAAATGTCTCCTAAGCCATTCCTTGCTGAAAGACCTCCAGTGAAAAGCAAATCGAGGCTTCATGTCTTGGTTGACTGCCACATAGACTTCGTGTGCTCACATGCAGTTCTTGCTTCTAAATTTTTGTTTGAAATTCCTTTGTTCGAGATTTAACAAATTGAGAATGTCATGACTCAGCTTAATTCAAAGATATTCATAATACAGTTTAATTCAAATGAGTTCTGTTCAGATTTTATTTATTTTTTTTCCCAAAATTTAAAAAGTGAAATTCCAAATGCCTGTAACAGACCTCTCTGGTACTAACAAATATCTTATGGGCTCTTTCAGGAGAGATCCCCTTATACCCCAGTATAAGGGAGACTTCAGATACAGGCCAGCCAGTTGTGTTTTCACAGCCTGAAAGTGATGAGGTAAGTTATGATTTTAAATATTTTTTATTACTTTTTACAGGATATACACTTTTTGAAAAATAACATTGGGATAATCAAGCTTATCTGTTCATGTTCAGAGAGCATATATATAAACAAGGTTTAGTTAACTTGTTCAAAATATATTTAAATTAATCACTGTTTTATATGGCAGGCTGCCAGTGTTGGCTCAATAAATTCACTTATAGAGAATCATCACCCAACCAGTTTTCTCATGAGAAACACAAATAAGAGTCTATAAAGGGGCTAGGGGTTGTGGCTCAATGATAGAGCACTTGCCTAGCATGTGTGAGGCATTGGGTTCAATCCTTAGCACTGCATATAAATAAATAAAACAAAGGTCTGTTAACAACTAAAAAACTATTAAAAATATGTGAAATATAATGAGATAATTATATTTCAGTATTCCAAGTCCAGTTGATTGTTGGGAGAAGGGAAGCTAATGTAATAAAGTGTTACCTTGGATAGATAAAGAGTGTGCATCATCAGAGAGGTGGAATGCAAAGACTAGTAATGTTTCATTAACTAATATCATCAGGGATACAGTTAATAGATTTTAAAAATTGCCAAAATATAAAATGTTTAAGCATAAAATCTTTTATTTTAATCTTTTCAAAGTAGAAGTAAAATGTATCTTCTCTGTCCTAAGTAGTACTTGCCATTTAACTTTAAAAAGTGAGTTGTCAACTAGTAGATCAATTTTGGTGTAGTTTTTGTGCCCCTTTCCTGAATATCCCCAGTCAATCTTATTCTAATAGTTTGTCTTAGCTAATGGATGTAACCTTATAGTACTATATTATTTTGTCTTTCCATAATCTCTACCCTTTTCCTTCTAATTTGCTTTGTCTAATCTTCTGTGAACTGAAAAAATAAAAGATACCAGCTTGGCTAGAGCTATAAATAAAGAATAAATTACACCAAGAATTTTGGATGAGTAAAGTTGATTCATTTTGAGTTATCTCTCTCAGAGGCCCAAGGGCCTTTTTCCTTTCTTAAGGGTTAATAGCTATGGCACAGGTGATTGAGTTGCTGGTAATATGATCTTTGAGTAAATACAGCATAGCAGTTATCATTGTTTTACTTTTCTCCACCTTTTAGGATTAAATGTTAAATTATTCTCCATTTATGTATGATGTGTCAAAGTACATTCTACTGTCATGTATAACTAATTGGAACAAATTAAAAAAAAATTAAGACCAAGACCCAAAGATGTGATCACCATTAAGTCAGGGCAGTGGCTACTTTGGTGAGATGACTAGAAAGAAGTGAATAGAGGATTTCAAGGTTATCAGCAAGTATGGTTCTTGGTCTGGGTTGTGTTTCCACTAGAAAAGTAATATATTTATGCTTTATATTCTTTTTATATTCCACAATAAAAACGATTCTTCAAAGCCAAAAAAAATTTTGTTTCCTTTTTTAGTCTTGTATAGATAGCTTTCAGATAGCAAAACTTTAATTCTTTTTTAAAATTTATGTACTCTAACTTATTATACATGAAAGAATGCATTTCAATTCATAGTACACATATAGAGCACAATTTTTCATTTCTCTAGTTGTACACAAAGTAGTCACATCATTTGTGTCTTCATACATGTACTTAGGGTAATGATATCCACCTTATTCTACCATCTTTCCTACCCCCATGCCCTCCCTTCCTCTCCCTTCCCTTTGCCCTATCTAAAGTTTCTTCATTCCTCCCATGTTCCCCTCCCCACCCCTATTATGGATCAGAATCCACTTATGATAGAAAACATCCAGCCTTTGGTTTTTTGCGGATTGGCTTACTTGACTTAAAATGATGTTCTCCAACTTCATCCATTTACCTGCAAATGCCATGATTTTATTCTCTTTTAAAGGCGAGTAAAATTCCATTGTGTATATATACCACAGTTTCTTTATCCACTTATGAATAAAGACATCTAGTTTGGTTCACAATTTAGCTATTGTGAATTGTGCTGCTACAAACATTGATATGGCTGCATTACTATAGTATGCTGCTTTTTAGTCCTTTGGGTATGAACAGAGGAGTGGGATAGCTGGGTCAAATGGTGGTTCCATCCCAAATTTTCCAAGAAATCTCCATACTGCTTTCCATATTGGCTGCACCAATTTGCAATCCCACCAGCAATGTATGATTGTGCCTTTTTCCCCACATCCCAGCCAACACTTATTGTTTGTATTCTTAATAGTTGTCATTCTGCCTGGAGTGAGTTGAAATCTTAGAGTAGTGTAAAACTATAATTCTTAATTGCTTTCGTAATTAAAACCTGACAATCCCAACTACTATAGGTATATTTTATAAATGTAGTATATGAAAAATACCAAAATTGAAGGATTTTTTAAAAAATTACACACATTCAAATGCCTCCCAAGAACAGAATATTTAGACATCCCACAGTGATTCCTTATAAATAAGAAAAGTTACTTACTAGTTTATTTCAATTATGGGTTTTGATTTTTAAATATTTTTCCACCTATTATTTTTTTTCTTTGAAATTCTCCAAAAGCAAGACACATCACAGTGATGTTAGAATATAATAGAAGAGAACATGTAACAGTCATCCAAAGATAGTTAAGATGATTTGAAAGTCTAAACAACTGTGTTTGTGGAGTTTTTTGGAGTTACATATTTTTACAATATGATCTACATTTGCATAAATATTAGACCCATTATTTTACTGTTTCTGGGTAACATTTCTAGAGTTGTAGGACAGCCTAAACCTTTATAGTTTAGGCTAACTTTGATTTGGTGAGGTTATTGTAAAAATGGTGAGAATTTCATGTAAGAATATGAAGATATCTGATCAATTTTTTTAGACATGGCCATAAGAAGGAAAAAATAATATGTTGTATTTAGTTCTCTTTCCATGGAAGATATTACTTCCTACTCATGATTTGCAGATATTTGTTATCACTAGTCATCTTCTTAATAATAATGTTAATTATAGTGTGCTAGACATTGTCAGGCATTTTATTTACATTATTTCAGTCCTCAGAAATTCTCACAAAAAATTAATGTGTAAATAGCCCTGTTATTGCAGATGAGGAACCTGAGGCTTATCGAATTTAAATAATTTACAGAGGTATTAAATTGTAAGGTGTGATTAAAAGACAAGTCTATTCCTTTCAAATGTTAGCTTCTTTCCAGTATATTAACTTCTGGGTCCTATATTATAGCTATTATTTCTTCAGTTTCTTCTATAGTGCTTCAGTATATTAAATACATTATTTTATTTGATTCTCATAGCATATTTGGGAGATAGGTATAATAATCTACATTATTTTAGATGAATAGCAGGGGTTCATTTACATTAAGGAAGCTTGTCTAAGATAGTACTGAAAGCCAGTTCCACGCTCACCTCTGATGTACAGCCCATGCATTCTCTTCCCAATGCATTGTCTGCTTCACTTTCTAATAACTGCAAGGTTAGTTCAGTGTCTGTTGTGTATATAAGCTGAGTTTCAGTTCAACTCTGTTCATAATATCACAGAGCTTAGAGAAGAGGATAAGCAGACTCTACCTCTTGGATTTTTAGGCTGCAAGGCCCAACATGATCTTCACATGGGTCTGAGAATCCCCTGAAATTAAATCCAGAATGTGTGAAGAAACATTTTTCTGGGGAACTGAACAAGAACTTTTGTTAAATTCTCAAAGGGGATCTCTGCATGGAAGGAAAAGACTAAAGCTGAGTCGGCGCAGGGATTCATCATCAAGTTTGCCAGTTTCTAAGTGTAACCTGAAGCAATTTCCCTAACCTCTTGAACCTTTCTCTACTCCTATAAATTTATGTCATAATGGGGATGAAATGAAATAATAATGTGAAAATACTTTGAAAAATGCCAAATAGAATACAACTGTACTTATTAACTTCTGAAACTTCCATCTAAGATGTCATGACACGAAATGTCTTTTCTCTTCCCTTTATTAAAGGGCTGAGCCCACTTATGCCCATTCCCTTACATAACACTAGATAAATGTCACTCTCCATTGGCATTTGAAATTCACAGTGGCAGAATTTGAATTTTGAAATGAGAGTAGAGTTCCCAGCTTTAGTGTTAAAGAAGTTAACTCCTGAAGGTTAGGAAGTTGTAATTGAGTCTTGGAATATGCATCTTTCTAGTTAGACTCATAATGAGTTTTGCCTGCTTATAAAACTCTTTCCTTTTCCCCTACAAACTGAAATGGAAATTCACTCCCAGAAAGTAATCACAACACTTTCAATAGATCCTGTGGTACTGGCAGAAGCTCAGTGCCCATTTTACCTATACACCTTCATTTAAAGAATAATGGGAGAATTTACTTGCCAACATAAACTTCCACAAAAGTTAATAGAATGGAAACTGTAAAATTAGTTGTTGCTTCACGCCTGTGTCCCGCACAAGTGGTGGGAATGGGGTTCCTCTTGGTAGAATGGGCTGGCTGCGAAATAAAGACTAAGAAAGAAAGGTTGTGTGACAAAAAAAACCACAGAACACAGGAAATGTTTTTGAAAGGACAAGCTAGCCGACCTTAGGATGGAGCTTGCACACACCAAAAAGAACAAAATGGCGCTCCCGCTTGCTTTATTTATATCAGGGAACATGGAAGGTTTTTCATGGAATGTTCTTTGCCAGATAAGGTAGGAGGTGGGCTGTTCAGTTGCCAACGGGTTACACCCAACTTCGGAGCTATGAGGACGGGTCTTCCTCATGGAGCGGAGATAGAGGTCATGTGCCTTGGTCAGTCTAATGCGTGCAGGGGAGCAGTGGATGGAAAAAACCTAAATCTCCATGGCTTGATGTAATTCAGGAGTGGCTCCCCACAGTTGCTCATTAGCCCTTTAGCCCTACACTTTTTTGTTTGCTTTTAGAGGTTGATCCACAAACAAAATTACTAATCAGCAAAGTTTCATCTTTTGTTTTTGACTTCCTTCTTAATCCACATTCCCTTCTATCCCATCACTCCCTCCTCTAGCACCAACTGTCAGAACTCTCAGTTCTCTACCCACAGAATACTTTAAAGGCACTAAGGAGTTAACATTCCTGACAACATTTAGCTTTCAGAAGAGGCAAACACTAAAGGCAGTGATTAATTTAAAGGTGTGAATTTTAGTGAATTTGAGATATCATTGGAAAAGTTGGAAGGACTTGTAGCACCAATTAAAAGCACTGACAGGCTGCTATGGACCCAGCAAATGGCCAAACCCTATGCATACACACACCACTTAGGGAAAAGGAGGAAAACTCCAAATGTGAGTGGCATTAACAGCCAGGGAAAGCAATAGAGGAAGGTGCGGGGTGGAGGGGAAGGTGGTTACTTAGAAAGTAGAAACGCAATAGCATGGCCTCATGCAGGTCAGAATATAATTGTTGATTCAACTAAAACTGTCTTTGCCCTTGACTGAGACCAGGATACAAAAAATGGGCCCATGATTGACTGATAATTTTGTGGCTTTATCCTTTCTATCAAGTACAAATATTAGGTGCAGAAAAATGTGCTATAAGAAACTTGTGGTAAAGACTTACAAATGTAAGTGGAAACTTTATTGTCTCATATTTTCCAAAGTATCACTTCACATTCTTAATATGAAATGACCATGCATGCCAAATTAAAACTTCAACATCTAAAGACAAAGGAAACTTCCATAAAATTCTTGCATATTGGCTTCTCCACTGTTGCAGACAAATAGGTTCTATATGTACATTTGTGCTTCTAGGCGGCTTAATAAAGAGACCTAGAGTAGAAAGGAATGATTGGTTGTGTTGAGTTGAGGTGATGGAAGAAGAGAGTGTTTGGGAAATCTCAGTCAAATCTTTTACATCTGATGTATGTGTGACCTTTTTGCCAGATATGTATTAAACAAAAAGGAGAAGTTTAGTTTAATTATTCCTCAGGTGGGAAATGTGCTTAAAGGGCATGTTAATATGAGCTCTTTAATGAGATTGCAAATTTCTCAAGTGTATGATGATAATAGCAGCAGCTCCTCATAAATCCTATCTGCTTCCTCTGTGCCAGCACTCCACATGCCTTATTCTCACTTAATATTCCCCCAAGCCCTTTTAGGTAAATATATTTTATAACCATTTTACAGATGTGAAAAACAAGACTAGAAGAGTCAAGTAACCTACCAATGGCCCCTCAGCTCATAAGTACTGACGCTGAGATTCCAAACCTGGCCTATCTGCTTTAAGGCCCCAATTCTTCACTCTCAAGCTATTCTGCTTCCCTTTATATCATTACATCCCACAGTATGGAGGGAAAAAAAAGTATTTGTAAGGATGATGAGTGAAAATTAACACATTAAGTTCAAGAAAAATATTTATTTTTAAGTACAAGTTATTTCCATTTTAAACAAAAATGATTGATTCTATAAAATATAACAGAGTGAAACCATTTTTAGACTATTCATTATGATTATAATTTCTTGTGTTGTGAGTAACTGCTTAATATATGGTATAGTAGAAAGAGCTGGGCATTAGAGTGAGTTGGACCTAGTGTGAATGTTTTCCAGTCTGCTGATATTAGGACCTTGAGAAAACAACTTCCAGTTTCTTCATAGAAGTTGAACCCATGATGCTTGTTTTACATGACTAAGTGTGAAGTACTTAGTACTTGATATAGTACTTGATATAGTAGGTACTCAGTAAAAACCATTTAACTTATCCATGTTTAGAAAGCTGCTTTTTTTAAAGAACTTTTGAGATGAAATTTTAACAGTTTTCTTGTAAAACTAAAACATAATTCAACTCTTAAGATTCAGGCAGTCTCTAAAAATGAAGATATGTGAAGCATCCTTAACGCATTTCATCAAGTCAGCAAACACACCTCAAATATATCTTTTTACTGTGCAGAACTGAGGGGTTGGTCAGCTAGGTTCAAAGCCCAGCTCAGTATCTACTAGCATTAATGCTCTGGATGGACTCTTTGCTTTTCTGGGTCTTGATTTCTCATCTGTAAAGTGAGAATAATGACAGAATTTACCCCCATGGTAACTATGTAGATAAATAAAATACTTGCCAAATATTAAGTACTCAGTAAATTTTAGCTGTTATCACTGATACGTGGTATAGGGTGCATGACTGTAAATATATCAATGTAGACATCAATAGTTTTAAAAAATCTTACTGCTTGTTTTGTTGTTGTGTTTTATGAGTAGGATAAGTCAAGAAGGTAATATTTGCATGGCAATTAGTTTTTAAAATTTATAAAATTCAAATACTATGATCATTGTTCTAACTAGGACACATGGGCTTTGGTTTAATTTGTGGCCCACTCTGTGGCTTAGAAGCTTCTCTTAGTAATTCATTGCACTGCAGATCCCAGTGATGAAGAGTGTAACACTGAACCAGAAATTCTTGGATGACACCCAAAATTTGCTAGGTAAAAGAGCCCACAGGTACTCAGTGCTGGTGTTACAAACCATTTAGAATAAAGAAAATGCTTTCTAAAGATAAACCATAGGGTGGTGATAAATAATCCTCCTTAAAATGACTAAGACCTCTATGCCAAAGCAGTTCTGGTAGTATCTAACTCAGGATTATCAACTTATCAGAGGAGGAAGGTATAATTTTTCTACAACTACACAGGGTTTCTAGTGTGTTGACACTAGGATTAGAGTTTGAAAAACAGTAATTGCTGGTTCTACATATTTTTTTCAGAAAGTCGCCTTCCAAATAATTACCCTCCCATAATCTAAAATCCTTTCTCCCCTGCTTCACTTGTAATATACACAGCATTATCTCCTCCCTACTGAATTTCTTCCTCTCAGCCAACCTTTTTACCATCAAATACAGTGGGCATCTATGACAAACAGTTCATGTGGAACAAATGAATCTGTTTTCTTCTAGGCTAAAGCCTACCTGAGGATTGCTATGGAAGTGGTCAGAAGATTGCCACCGCCTCCAGAATGATTCCCTGTGTGCCCTGGAAATTGTCCTCGTATTTGATCAGAAAGAGATCTTTGGAAACAAGCACTGTGGTGGTAGAACCTTCAGAAATAATAGCAATCATGATTGTTTCATTTCTAAGGAAATAATGTCTTATTGTAGATTTGATTTGCTAAGCTATGACCCACAGCTAAAATTTTCATGTATCCATGCTAATTGCTATATATTTAGGGTGTGTGTGTGTGTGTGTGTGTGTGTGTGTGTGTGTGTGTGTATGTGAACTGCACCAAACTGCTTTTGTTTTATTGAACTACCTCTTGAGGAATCATGGGTTTATGATGTTATAATCCCAACATGAGAGAGAACTACACTCTTCAGGATAGCAGAGTTAATCATTTAAAGGATGTACTAAATTTGTACATGGACACAAATGTAACGCCTCCCCTCCAAGAAATTTGGTCTGCATTTAAATACTGTCTATAGTGTTATCTTGGACATATTTTTAATAAAGTTGAGCCTCTGCTTCCATCAAGACCAGACTCTTACCCCAGACTTAACGAATCTGCATCTCCAGGAATAGGGCCTGGCATGTGTATTATGAAAATTTAAATTTGTCATGGCAATAATAAAAATAAATAAATAATATTTATCAAGTGCTTTCTATGTGTCCTCACATTCTTCCATTCATATGAGTGGAATACTATTCCTTTTACAAATGAAGACACTTAGGTATAGGAAGGTTAAGTGTCTTGCCAAGGGTTACTATTTCCTAGTGATGAAGCTGGGATGTGAATTTGGGTAGCTGGCTACTGAATTCCTCCTTTGTACACCAGTGTGCATTTGTTAATTTCAAGAGTAATATATTCTTCAATGTGACCATGAACCCCCCTCCACCACTACCTTTTAGGAACATTTCAGGAGTTCATGTTTCAAATAATATGCTTTGAAAAACATATATCTTATCTAGTTAAGGCTCAGTCAAGGACTTTGCAAGGTCAGGTAAGAGATAGTTGTAAAACTGCAAGTACTGATAAGAATGAGTCATTATTTAATTGTCAGTTATAAGGAAGTGGTCTAGGATATTTGTCAAATGCTTTGATGTCCTTTGCTCTGTGGTTATCAGCCAGAAAGTTAGGAAAAGAGTTGCATATCATTATAAACACATTTTCAGGCAACACCCTGTATTGCTATTCATAGCCGCTTTATATGTAAGAGCCAAAAATAACTCAAAATTTCTTGAATGGGTGAATGGACAAGCAAACAGTGGTACATGTATACCTTAAAATATGACTCCACAGTTAAAAATGAACAAACTATGGATATGTGCAATATCTTGGGTGAATTCCAGATAATTATGCATGGTGAAAAACTCAATCCCTTTCAACATTCTTGAAGCAACAAGATTATAGAAATGGAAAACAGATTACTGCCAACCATTTTATAGAGGGAAGGGGACAGAGGGAATTGAATGTGGCTATAAAAGGGAAATAGGAGAGATCTGTGTAATGATGGAGATATTCTCTATTGTGATTCTTTGATGTCAGTACCTTGCTTGTGATATTGAACTACAGTTTTGCAAGATGTTACTGTTAGGCGAAATCAGATTAAGGACAAATGGAATCTATATTATTTCTTGCAACTGTATATAAATTACAATATGTCTAAATAAAAATAAAAGTCCAGTTAAAAGGAACATGTGCTGCTGTATGTGAACTGAAATTTGGGGACCACTTATCCATACTAATTTATATCACGAGTAAAAACTTTTGTGGACACAGTAATCATCATTCATCACTGAGCAGGAAATAATGACTTAAAGTTGCAGATGGTTATTTTTATTGTTAATTTAGGAAGGAAACAATAAAGATGACCATTGAGCACTTAAGCATACTAAAAAGCAAGTACTTAAACCAAACTTAACTCTGAAAAACAGGATTTTAGTAAGATTTAGAGGAACTTTATGTGCCATAATCTGGAACATTTAGTATAGAAATGGGAAAAGTAGTCTCTATGTATGACTATCCCCTCTTTTCCTTCACTTAATTAGTGTCTACAGATGCTTCAGAGAAAGTTATTGGGAAAAACATGGAGATGGAATATACATACAGATTTAGAAGTGGAAGGAGGGAAATGAGCCATAAAAGCAAGAAGTAAAAAGCCTTGAGGTCAATCCCCAGTACCAAAAAAAAAAAAAAAAAGATTTTTAAGAGCTCTTTTCAAAGATAAGACTCGAGCATAGCTAGTCTGCTTGTCTGCCTGTTAAGGAATAATATTTCTTTCTTTCTTTTCATGTGTCTATACAGAGTGTAGAGAATGACTATTCTGCTATCCAAGGGAGAAAGTAGACTTCCTTCCTTGCTGCATTCCAGGAAAGAAGCTGTGACTCATCCTAAAGGAAAATCTCTTCCCAAAGCCCTTTATGTTCTTTGACTTCAGCCAAATTCTAAGATTCCTAAGGCAGGCTACAGGGAAAACTGAAGTCTCCCGTCTCTCCTTTGGACTTAAGTTGGTAAATCCACCTAAGTTAATGTTTGGGTATTTCATAGCCTACTGTGGTCACTTACCTTTGAATCCAGCTTTTGTGCATAGTAAAGCCAACATTTACATATGCCTTTATCTGAAGTCTGCATCTCTCAGTTCCATATAAGGAAAGAACCCCAAACCCCTGCCTTACTTCAAGAAAATGCAGAATATCTTTATAGACTCCTAGACAGAACTCAAGAGTGTATTAGAGGTTAGCCAGTCCCACTCCTCCATTTGAAGCACATATAGTAAAAAGAAAGCTTACCACTGGGCAAAAACTTTTTTAGGGGGTTGGCAGAGATTCTCACATAGTACAATACATATGCTGGAAAATACTGAAGACATAAATATACAGCTTCAGTGATTATTCACAAAGTGAACGTTCACATGACTACCAGCCAGGTTAAAAAGTAGAACCCTGCCAGCATCCAGAAGCCCAGGGGTTTCCTTCAGTCACTACCCCTCTGCCCATGCAGAGCTAACCCACTGCCGAGGTCTTAACACTTAATCTGTGCCTTAAACATTAGAGTTGGCCTATTCTTTGAAACTTATATTAAGTAGAATCATATATAAAGCTTTAATAAAAACTTAATTTAAAAAAATGTTTGGGGCTGGGGTTGTGGCTCAGTGGCAGAGAGCTTGCCTCACATGTATGAGGCACTGGGTTTGATCCTCAGCACCACATAAATAGGTAGGTAGGTAGGTAGGTAGGTAGATAGATAGATATACTGTATCCATCTACAACTAAAAAAATCTTTTTTAAAAAAGAATGTTTTGGCAATGCATGATTTTTTGCATTTTCATTTTATATTTAGGAGTAGCTTACAAAGTCCAAAAGCAACAATGACAAACTACTGAGGAGAATTTGAGTTTTTCTTAGGTAGGAGAAAATCGGAAAAAGCATCATACCCATATTTGCGACAAGAAAAAAAACTGATCCAGGTGTGGTGGCACACAACTGTAATCCCAGCAATTGGGGAGGCGGAGGCGGAAGGATCCCAATTTTGAAGGCAGCTCTGGAAATTTAGTGAGGCCCTAAAAAAACTTAGTAAGACTCTGTCTCAAAAAATAATAAAGACTGGGGATGTAGCTCAGTGGTAAAGCACCCTTAGGTTCAATTCCCAGTGTGTCCCCCACCAAAAAATCTGAATGAACTACAGAATTACAACTTGTCTTTTAAAAATAATAATTATTAATACATTCTAATTCTACAAATTTAATGAATTTCAAGAGTGTCATTTCCATACATGTGCATTTCACGCTTTGATTATCTTTACCTCCCCACTGCCTTTGTCCTCCCATCTCTCCCCTCTTGCCCTGGTCTTATTCCCCTTCCCTAATATTCCCTTTTCTACTTCGGTGATTCTGGTTTTTTTTTGTTTGTTTGTTTGTTTTTGTTTTTGGTTCTTTTACTTTTCACATGAGAGAAAATATGCAATACTTATCTTTCTGTTCTTGCTTGTTTTGCTTAATGTGATGACCTCCAGTTCCATCTATTTTCCTACAACTGACAAGATTTCATTCTTTATGGCTGAATAATACTCCATTATGTATATATCCCATATTTTTTAATCCATTCATCTGTTGAGGGGCATCTAGGCTTATTCCATATTTTGGCCATTGTGACTAGTGCTGCAATAAGCATAGGTACGCTGACTTCATCTCCTTTAGGTATATGTACCCCAAAGTGGTATACCTGGATCATATGGTAGCTGTGTATTTAGTCTTCTGAGGAACCTTGATACTGTTTTCCATTGTGGCTGTACTAATTTACATTTCCACTAACAATGTATAAGGGTTTCTTTTTCTCCACATCCTTACCAGTATTTTTTTTTAATAATAGAAACTCTGAAGAGGGTGAGAAAGAATCTCAGTGAAGTTTTGATGTGCTCAAGATGTTGAGCATCTTTATTTCATATATTTACTTCTTTTTTTAAAAAAAAATTTAGATGTAGATGGGCACAATGCCTTTATTTTCTTTCTTTCTTCCTTTCTTCCTTCCTTCCTTCCTTCCTTGTGCTGAGGATCAAACCCAGGGCCTCACACATGCTAGGCAAGCTCTCTACCACTGAACTCCAACCCCAGCCCCATATTTACTTCTTTTGAGAATCATTTGCCCAGTTATTGACTGGATTATTCTTTTGTCATTAATTTTTTGAGTTCTGTAAATATTCTGGATATTACTGCTCTGTCAGATGAATAGCTGGCAAAGGTTTTCTACTATTCTGTGGGTTTTCTCTCCACTCTGCTGATTGTTTCCTTTGCTGTACAGAAGCTTTTGAATTTGATGTAATCCCAGTCGTCAATCCTTGCTTTTATTTCCTAAGCTATTGGAATCTTATTCAGGAAATCATCGCCTGTGCTAATACCTTGAAGTGTTTTCCCTATGTTTTTTCTCTAGTAGTTTTTAAAGTTTCAGAACTTCCATTCAGGTCTTTGATCCATCTTGAGTTGATTTTTGTACAGGATGAGAAATGTGGGTCTACTTTCTATCTTCCACATGTGGACATCCAGTTTTCCCAGAATCATTTGTTGAAGAGGATATCTTTTCTCTAACATATGTTCTTGGCACTTTTGTCAAAAACACAGGTGGCTGTAGGTGTGCGCATTTATTTCTGGGTCTTCTATTCCATCTCCTTACCCTGTGTGTCTGTCTCTATGCCAGTACCATGCTGGTTTTATTATTATGGCTCAGTAATATATTTTGAAATCAGGTCTTATGATGCCTCCCAGCGTCTCCTGACTATGAGTGATGTTGGAGTCTAACAGAAAAGTTTGACAACATGCTTGAGGAAACAGGGATTTTAGAAAAGTGATGGAAACTAAAAAAAAAAAAAAATTTAAATGTTAGAAATGAAAAAACAGCAACAGATGAAGAATCCCTTTGGGCTCATCAGTAAACATGATAAAGAAAGAAATATGAATTTGAAGGTAGATGAACAAGAAACACTCAAATTGGGATACAAAGAATAAAAAGTTAAAAGCACACACAGCATGCAAGAGTGGGGGATAATTGGTACCTCATAAGAAGAGGAGAGGGACACTGAACAAACAAAATATTTAAAGGAAACTACTAGATTTCTAGAAGGTATGAAACTACAAATTCAGAAAGGTCTAAACAAGTTTTTTTTTT